CTCACCCTCCTGGAGACTGCCCAGGTGCTGTTTGTCCTGCCTTGGGACAATAGAGACTTACTCTCATTGTTTGTGAAGCAGAAAGTTCAGTTCTCCTCTCCCTCTTTTCTCCTGGGACATAACACACCCCCAGGCCTGAGCAGACATGTGAAGAATTAATCCCTGCCAACAGCAGATGAAGCCACCCCGACAGGGAAGGATAGGGCGAGGGAGGAAGAGAAACCCACACCCCAGCTGGGCTGCGGCTGAGCCATCTGGACAGGCATCCCCTGACCCTGAGGTGTCAGCACTCGTCCAGCTCCTCTCCCCAGACGCAGTGGCTGACACCCTGGGGTGTGCTGGCTCTTACCACTGCCATCCTTCTCTTTTTATTAGGTTTAATCAAGCTCTCCTGTGAAGTATTGCATAAATTCAATTCTAGATTTCACATATAAAATAATCAAATGAGAGTGAAGCATCATAGACATAAAATGTTTTTTAAAGTGAAAATGATATTTTTAATTTAATCACGTAAAAATTATCCAGCTACAATACATCTAAATGGCAGAGAAATTGCTGTATTGTATTACCAGTGGCCCCAAAAAGCCCATGATTTGCATGGGTTGGTAAATGGTTTGCAATTCCCTGAACTCTGTATTTTCCCTTTTCTCTCCATAAAGTACTGTTACGGCATTCTTTGAAACCCCGAATTCAGCCTAAGAATTCCTCCAATGAAGATCTACTCCTAGGAATACTTACCAATACAGCTTATTTCATTTAACAGGCTATTTTTTAAAAGAACATGGATCTGTGTCAGTCTACCACCTGATCTCTGGCTTCCAGACCCACAAGCCAGCTAACCTCCTTGAGCCTCGTTTTCCTTCTCTGTACAGTGTGGGCATGGAAGTAAATGGCCTTCCTGCTGTCACTGTAGTATTCTCTGGTGGTTTGATATTTATCTCTTTTACTATCCAGTAAACATGAGTCCCCCAAGAATAGGACTTGCATTTGCAGTACGTTTGCTAGGCCCATCCCCACCCCAGGTGCTGGCACTGTGCACAAGGTACCGCCTTGTCCGAACTGATTGCCTGCCTCATTGACGCCACTGGTGCCAGCCTGGAAGCAACTCATTAGTGTTTTCTGCAATAGAACAAACACAAGATGAAAATTCACTCCATCTTCTATTTTATTGACTAGAATAGGCCAGGTGTGGTGGTGCACACCTGTAATCCCAGCACTCGGGAGGCTGAGGCAGGAGAACAGTTGTGAGTTCGAGACCAGCTTGGGCTACAAAGCGAGCTCAAGGCCTCAAGACCCTGTCTCAAAAAGACAGAAAAAGAAAAAAGAAATGTGTGACTAGAGTAGAATGTTTTCTAATCAAAATCAGAGAGCCATACATTTTTTAGTTTATATGTAATAAATAAAATTTATTTTATGCACAATGTCTATGAGTCTTACCCCATCCCCAGATTCATGAATTCTTGCCACAATCAGGACAGTTTCATCACCCTAAAAAATTCCTCTGTGTCAGACTACTCTAACCCCATACCCTGACAACTACTAATCTAATGTCCAGCCTTATAATTTTGTTTTCTGGAGTGAAATCTACAGTATGTAACCTTTTGAGATGGGCAGCTTTCGCTCAACATAATGCCTTTGAGATTTATAATGTTTTCCCACATCAATAATTTGTATCATTAGTTTGCTACTTCCATTGCTAAGTAACATTTCATTGTATAGATGTAACACAGCTTATTCGTCCATTTACCTATTGATGAATATTCCGGTGCTTCCAGTTAGGGCCATTTATAAACAACTACTATAAGCCGTATTTACGTTTTTGTGTGAGCGTAAGTTTTTATTTCCCTAGGATAAACACCTGAGAGTGAAGTTGCCGGGTCATCTGGTAATTTTAACTTTTTGGGTTAGCCACCAAAACATTTCCACGTGGCTGTCATTTTGTGTCCCACCAGTATTGTATGTGAGTTCCAGTTGCTCTGCATTCTCACCAACATTTGGTATTGTTATTTTGTTGTGGTGGTCTGTTTAGTGTTAGTCATGCTGGGTTTTTAATGGTGTCTTATTATAGTTTTAATTTGCATTTCCTGAATGGCTAGCAATGTTTCATTGCTCTTTTGATGAAATTTAGTTTATCAGTTTTTTTCTATGGATTGTGTTTTGATGGAATTTCTAAGAAATCTTTGCTTACTCCAAGGTTACAAGATTTTCTCCTATGTTTTCTTTGAAAAATATTATAGGTTTACATTTTATATTTAGATACGTGGTCCTTTTTCAGTTTTTAAGGGGTATGAATTAGGGAGCTATTTTTTTCTGTTAGAATATGGACGTCCAAGTGTCCCAAGTCGTCCAAATGTCCGCAGTACCGTTTCTCACTGAATTGCCTTTTCATCTTTGTAAACAGTTCATTGGTCGTATTTGTGTGCGTCCACTTCTCATCTGTTTTTATTCCTTTTCCAGTTACATTTTCTTGATTTCTCTAGCTTTATTATCTGCTATGTGAGTCCTCTATCCTTATCCTTCTTTTTCAGAATTGTGGTGACTATTCTAGTTCCTTTACCTTTCCATCCACAATTTAGAGTGAACCTGTGGATGGCTACCAAAAACTCTGCTGGGTATTGATCTGTATTTGAAGAAAGCATACACCTTAACAATATTGAGTTTTCTAATTTGTGAGCATATCTCTCTCAATTTTCTTGGGGTTTTTTTATTCTTTTATTAGCATTTTAATTTGACTTGAACATTTTATAATTTTTAATATATAAGTCCTATACATATTTTGTTAGATCTAAGTATTTATATCAAAGTATTTTTGTTTTTGAAATTGTTACAGTTTTATATTGTAAATTTATATTTCCACTTGTTCTGGGCAAGCATATGGAAATATTTTTGTATATTACCCTTATGTCCTCTGACTTTACTAAACTCACTCTGGGAGTTATTTTGTAAGTTCCTTGGGATTTTTTATGAGATGATTAGACATTGGCTTCTTTGCGATCTGTGTTCTTTTATATTTCTTCAACCAGCCTCACTGCACTGACAGGAGCTTCAGTATGATGCTGTGTAGTAGAAATGACGGAGAAAATCCTTGCATTGTTACTGGTCTTAGGAGAAAACCACTAAGTATCATATTATTTTGGTAGATGTCACCTATCAGGTTAAGTTTTCTAATTCTAGTTTGCTAAGAAATTTTTATCATAGCTACGTGATGAATTTACATACATTGATGGCCATGTGGCTTTTTTCTTTCTTTCTGTCTTTCTTTCTTTCTTTCTTTTTTTTTTTTTTTTTTGAGACAGGGTCTAACTATGCAGCTCAGGCTGGCCTCAAATTCACAGTGATCCTCCTGCCTCACCCTCCCAGTAAGCCCAGTGCTAAAATTATAGGCATGTGGCACCATGTCTAGCTGTCATGTGGCCTTTCTTTTCATCTATTGTTTCACTCTGTTGTTACATTGATTTTTGAACTTTAGATTAGCCTTATATTTATACTCCTTAGTAAACTTCACTCCGTCATAGTGCATCGTTTCTATATGTTGTTGGATTTGATTTGGTAACATTTCATTGGTCATTTCTATATCCAAGTAAAATTATTACGTGAAAGATGTAGCTTTGTAATTTTCTTGTGCTGTCTGTATCTATTTTTTTTTATTTTAAAAGTAAAAGAATGAAAACCTATTAACAAACAGACAACCACTTACAAAGTAGCACAAGAACAGTACAAGCAACACTGAACTACATACAAGGTGGCAGGGAGTTAACAATGGTTGTTGTATTACATATTGATAACTTCAAAGTGGTTACCCAAGAAAACAAATACAGACATGCAAGATTGATCAAATAATCATTAACTGTTCCTTTCAATAAAGCAATATAAGTCAGTAGTATAACTGTGTTAGCTATCCTGAATGTACATATATACAGAATTTTCTTCTTTCTTTTCTCTTTTCCCTCATCCCAGTTGCTCTTTACTTTTGAGCAGTTTCCTTTCTTTTCACAATGTTTATCATACCTCTTACTCTTTATTCACTCTTTCAGGTTCTTACAGTAGTGAGAATATGCTGCTTACACATGCAGGTCTGATTTATTTCAATTATGAGTATGGTCTCTAGTTGTGACTATTTACCTATAAAAGCCTTGAGTTTATCTTTCTTTATAGCGGATAATATTCCATTCTGGTATCAGGATAATGATGGCTCTTAACATGTCTATGAAATATTTCCTTATCTTCTGTTTTCTAAAAGAGATATGGAGAATTGGTGATACTTCTTCTTTAAATGTTTGGTAGAATTCACTAATTAAATAATCCAAACCTGGAGTTTTCCTTTTCCAAAGGTTTTTAACTATAAATTTAATTTCTTCGACAGAACAGAACTGTTCAGGCTACCTGTTCTTGGGTGAGTTATGGTAGTTTGAACTTTCAAGGCATTATTTCATTTGGAAGTTGTTAAAGAAGTTGTTGTATGTAAAGTTGTTTAAAATAGTCCCTTATTACCTATTTAATATCCGTGTGGTCAGTAGTGATAGCCCCTCTTCTGCTCCTAATACTGGTAATGACATTTTATGTTTTTTTCTTTTGGGGATAGAGGTTTATCAATCTTTTTAGTCTTTTGATTTTTTTTGTTGTTATTTTTTGTCTTTTTGAGACAGGGTCTCACTATGCAGTTCAGGCTGGCCTTGAGCTCACTTTGTAGCCCAGGCTGGTCTCGGACTCGCAATGATCCTCCTGCCTCAGCTTCCGGAGTGCTGGGATTATTGGCGTACGCCACCACACCCGGCCTAGTCTTTTGAAAGAGCCATCTTTTTGTTTTATTGATTTTCTCTATTGTTTTCTGTTTCAAATTGCATTAGTTTTGTTCTTTATTTCATTCGACCCTCTTAATCTATGAAATTTGATAGATTAAATTCATCAGCATTATTGAGCAAAATCATTATAAAATGTATTTTTAAACTCATCCTCTCAAGAATCATCATAATAGTTTTCCATATGTTGTCTCTTTGCAGTTGACTGGTCTGAGCGTCTCCAATGGAAAGGACCAACTTGTCGTGTTCCATACGAAAGATAACAAAGACCTCATTGTCTGCCTCTTCAGCAAGCAGCCCACCCATGAGAGTCGAATTGGAGAACTTGTTGGAGTCCTGGTGAATCATTTCAAGAGGTGAGTTTTGTAGCTAAGACAAGTTTTAAATATTCAAAATCTTTCGTCATAATTATCACTGAATTGTTCTGTGCCAGTTTTAATATAGTAAATTATTTTCCTCCATAAGGACTGCTTAAATCAGCGATGGCGAACCTTTTAGAGCTTTCAGTGATACAAACATCCCACTGTGGCACGTGTACCATGGGTTCACCACCACTGACTTGAATCATTTACTTCATAGGAGGTGAAATTAGCACCCAGGCTGATTTTCAAGATTAGGGATGATCTTCTGTTTTTCTAGACTGTTGCTGAACCAACAATGAGAGATTTCCCTAATGATTATTTCTTCACTGCCAATCCAAATGTAATCAAATCTTAACAATAGAAAAAATTACTTTGGATTCTTATTGTCACAGCTTTGCATTTACCCCAAATAATCTGTGTGTCTACTATAACTATAAACAAATTAGAATTAGAAGGCAGATCTAAGGGGCTGGGAATTTAGCTCAGCGGCAAAAGCGCCTGCCTGTCAAGCGCAAGGTCGTGAGTTCGGTTCCCGGTACCGGAGAAAAACCAAAAAAAAAAAAAAAAAAAGGCAGATCTAAGATAGCAGGTGGCTTTACGAAGACTAAAGAAATCCCAAGGAGAGGCAATACCTGCTCCGAAACACGGAGTCACGAGGGGATCTGCTGTATTCTGAGGCTGCGTGGTAAGCCTGGGTGACATCTAGGGAGTGTGTGTATGCGCTGAACAGTGATGTGAGAAATAGACAGAGAGCAGATCCTGAGGGTGGCGGGACCGGTAAATGGGTGATTTCAAGCAGAGGAGTGATTCGGGCTGATTATTTATTGAAGTTGTTTTAGAGATGGAGTTTTTCCTCCCATAAGGGGCAGACATGACTCACCAGAGTTCAGTGTTCTTCTCTCTGTGGCACACCACCTTCGCCTCTCCCACCCCACCTTCATGCCGGGAGTGTTTTGTTTTGTTGATGAATATGTAACTGTAAAGGTGAGCTGCACTGACTAGTTATTTCATGTTATTAAACATTGTATTCTAGATTAAAATGGATTTTTAAATATTTTATATAATTATTTTTAATGCTACAAATAATGCTTAGTGGTCATCTGTTAGAAAAAAATTAGAATCCAAGAAAGTACCAAAAAATAATAATAAACATGCAGACCTTTGGAAAACATTCTTTTGAGAAGAAAACCAAAAGATCGGGAGGTAGAGGGTAAGGTGTGTTGTATACTTGAACCAACTTCCCATGATGAATGTAATCATTATGTACTGCAAATATGTACAGGTACTAATAAAATCCCTTCTTTTTACAAATAATTATAAAGCTACCAGAAAAATTAAGGAGTTTAAACTGGAAGGCAGAGACATGGAGGCATTTCTACAACAATGTTTATAATTCACCTAAATAGGTTTATTTCCCTGCTAACAGTTATAGCAGTGTATAGATAATTGAAGGAATTTTAGTTTGTTAGCTTTGATTTGGATGCTTGTATAATGAATGCAGTAATTTTTTCCTGGAGAATTAAAGTATTTTGTCTCAGTCTGGGTCCTTGTTCAGTAAATTCCAGCCTTGGTAAATGTCTTCTACAAGTGACAGAAATAGAATCCATTAGTTGCTCTCTTTCTGTAGTACATGTATTCTGAGACACGTTTCCAGGTGAATGCCTTCTACCTGTAATATATGGAAAAAGTTTTAATTTCTTTAAAATTCATAACTAGGAATTCCTAGTTATCTATTCCTAGGAAGGAAAAGAAGATGGTGAATTTTTTTTCTGTTTATTCTTCCTGTTTTTATCTTGCTAATTAAGAGATCATGTAGTAATGAGATATAAAAATCTCTCATCCCTGAAAAAATTCAAGCTTAAAATTTTGACTTTTTAAAGTTATAAACAGTGGCCGGGCATGGTGGCACACACCTGTAATCCCAGCCCTCGGGAGGCTGAGGCAGGAGGATCCTTACGAGTGCAAAACCAGCCTGGGCTACAAAGTGAGCTCAAGGCCAGCCTGAACTGCATAGTGAGACCCTGTCTCAGAAAAGACAAAAAAATTATAAACAGCAGCCTGTTACTGACTTTGTAAGGAAAAGTTAATTTTCCTTTTTTCCTACTTATTTTCCTTTATCATTAAGCCTCGTATCGTTGTGACTTTGAAATTCACATTGTGTTTTACAAGCATAATGCCATGGCACATAATCTTATTTGTCCCTGGATTAATTATGGAAATCCAAAAGTGACAAGGGTTTAACTCCAGACCAATTCTTTATCCTCTACAACACTTCCCCAGAGTGCATTCTGAGAAGTTCTCTAGTAAAAAGTTGGAAGGACAAGGCTCAAAATTATAAAACATGGCATAGATAGAGGTAAGTAGGAGTCACTGAACATGGGCAAAATTCAGCACAGTTCTAGAGAGAAGAAGGGTAAGTCAAATTTTGAATAAAAGAGTATCTGATTTTATTAGTCTAGCATAGAACTATACCCAAACAAGTAAGGATAGCACAAGGACAAAAAATATAGTGCAAAAAATATAGTCCTACTTTAGTACCAAAAATGTTTTTAAATCCTAAATAAAATGCCCACAAATGGAATCCAAGAGTGTTTTAAGAAAATAATACATCATGACAAACGAGGCCACCCCCTAAGAATATAAAAATGGTGGGATCCACTAGAAAGCACTATTAATGTGTTCACTAGATTAAAGAAGAAAATAATTTCATATTTCCAATAGAAGACAAAATAGTTTTTGATGAAAAGCAGCACTCACTGCTAATGAATAAACTTACAAACAAAATGAATAAGTACAGAAGTGGGAGCAAGAAGCAGCTTTGCAGCTGCCGGTCAGAATTGTTGAGCAGCAGTTGTTACATGGCTGCCACCTCACGGAGCTGTGGCCCAAGGAAATTTCTCTTCAGTCATGCTGACCGCGTTGAAGGGGAAGGGTATATGCAAGCTGAGGGAAGAGGTGGGCTGGTGGAGATGACGTGGTGATGCAGAGAAAGTATGATGTCAGGCCGCGACTTAAGTTGAAACTGGAAGACAACTCTAACTGCATACCCTAGTCTCTTCGAGAGCTACCTCAGCAAATGGCTTTCCCCACTCAGAGCAAGTAATAACCTGGAAGGAAACAGCAAGAAAACTATGCATAGGTGGTGCAAAAATAAGAAGTAAGGAAAACAGGCAAAGACAGATGAGAAAAAAAGGAAAATAGGAACAAATTCTACATAAAAAGGCGGGGGGAAGGACAGGCCCAAGGTAGAGCTAGACTAGCTGTATCCTGTTGCCTTAATCAACAGCAAAAAATAGACAAAACACATGACACAGTCATTTTCAAGGCCCTGGCCACAAGGCAACAAAGGACAGTGGTCTCTGAGGGGTGAAAAACACACAAGTGAGCCCTACAGTCACCCCCCCACCGTGTCCTCCTGTGTGGGGGCTGCTAACCCAAGGCCCACACAGGGAACCGCAGCTGAACACAGTGGACGCCCAGCCAGGGAGGCTGAGAGCAGAGTCTGGGGAGACCAAGGTAGAGGAGAGATGTGCAGAAAGAGAACTCCAGAGATGTGCACAAGGTCCCCTTAAAGAGAGGAGAGAAAACTACCCCCGCGTGGGGAAAGAACTAGCTGAGAGACCAGGGGCAAGAGCATTTGGTGCTCACACTCAGCCAGAACAGGGTGTCTCCTACCCAGGCAGCCTGGAGTGCGCATAGTTCACGGGACACTTCGGTGAGGGTTCAGGAGAGCTTTGCGGGAGGAGGGTGACCCTCAAATAAAGGCTACTGTAGTAAATACTACCTAATAAGTCTTCAAAGCAAGACCCAGAAGATCACACTGCTTGCAGATAATATATGTTCTGGAGCAAAGCACATCAATATTTATAGGAATACAAAATTTTCCACACCCAACAAGCTAGAATTCACAATGTCTAACATCCAGTCCAAGATTACCAGGCATGCAAACAGGCAGAAATAATCCAATCTGAGAGAGGAAAGTCACCCAACTAATACTAACCAGAACTGACGAAGGTGTTAAAATTAACAGACACAGACATTAAAAGCGATTACAGCTAAATTATAGGTGTTTATAAATTGATTACAGACATGGAAGATTTTCTTTAAAAAAATCCAAATCAAACTTCTAGATGAAAAATACAGTAATGTTTGAAATATTTCATGATTCAAAACAAAAATTAAAAAAAAAAAAAACAAAGTCTAGCCTGGCATGGTGGCGCATGCCTGTAATCCCAGCACTCACGAGGCTGATGCAGGAGGACCTCGTTCGAGTTTGAGGCCAGCCTGGGCTCCCTAGTGAGCTCAAAGCCAGCCTATGTAGCGAGACCCTATCTCAAAGGAAACACAAAAAAGACAAAGCTTTTTGCTTTTCACTTTTATCGAATTTCTTCTCATCACCATCTTCCCTCATGAACTGGAGCCAGACCTTTCCTAGCATTTCCTTCCGTATGAATCCTGAAGCTGAATACAGGTCAGTGTAAATTAGCCTCTTTGTCCAACTCCTGCAGTCTTTACTCACTCTGTGCCTGTTATTCCCGCCTCCAAGCACCCACATACACACCTGTCATGTCCTGTAAAACATCTGAAAAGCGTCTTTCTTTTCTCACCGGTGCTGGGGAATGAACCCTGGGCTTATCCATGCTAAGTACATGCTGTACCTTCAGGGCTATGCTTCTAGCCCTGAAGAGTCCTTAAATAAAGTATATCCCAGATGGTGAGATCATGAATAGTTAAGGCTAGGGACCAGAGCTCAGTGGTAGAGTGCTTGCCAAGCATGTGCAAGGCCCCAGGCTCCATCCCCAGCACCATCTAAAAATGTTTAAAAAGGAGGGTTAAAGGTACAGCTCAGTGACAGAGCACTTGCCCAGCATGTGTGAATTCTGGGTTCAACACCCAGCACCACACACAAAATCATCAATAAATAAAATAAAATCTAATGACCAGTGTGGCTTAAACACAGACCAATTAGAAGAGATCCAAAACTACCTGCTACA